TAGGAGAAGAGTCAAGAGATTTGAATGTAGAAGCAAAATGTAGAATTGACCTTATTCACCTTGACTACAGCTTATGCAAAGATGATAGCCTGGTAATGGAGGCAAAAGGAAAGGGGAGGGGTTAGAGTTAATGGTGAGGACAAAAAATATATATGCAGAATCATAAAGCAGATAAAATTTTGGAATTATAAAAAGTTATGATTTTTGTATTTATACAGGTTGCAAATAGGACAGGATCTAATCCATAAAAAGGTATTTAATAACATAGTTGTTGAATGATTATCCTTGTTTTATGGGAAATGAAGCTTACGTCAAGTATATTTGTATTATTTTCAGTCTGAGAAAAAAATGTACATTCATCTTTGATTCAAATTCATACATACTAAGATTAGTAAAAACTCTATCCATTTATTTCTTAATAAGTAAAATCAAATTTTGTGGGGGAAAAACAACAACAGTTGTGAGAAATGAAGAAATTGTATATTGTTTTCATTCCTGATAAATTAAAACTTTATGGGTTTTCCTTTTACCACTCCTGCTCCAAAAAATATCAAGAAAGCCATTCATGTGAAGACCTTATAGGCTATAAGATATACGCTGGATCCTAAATTCTGTGAGCACAAGTATTGGTTATTAATTGAACCTTGTACCTCTTCTAGTATCTAGGACACCAGACGCTTCAGAAATGCTTGTTGAATTCAATTGTATTAAACTATACATTTTCCTTTTCTCACAAACAATTTTACTGGAAAAATAATGTTGCAAAATGAGTGGATACTTCTGTTTGTCCTGGTGAAAATTGTTTGCGTATAAAAGTGTGCTGGCTGTTTCATTATTATAATACAACTAAAAGATTTCCTTGACTTACTAAGACCTTTGAGAACTAAACACAAATATGTGTGTATGTTATGTGTGTATGTGTGTATGTGTGTATGTATATACACATGTATGTATGTACACATATAGAGATATACAGACATGCATATATCAAACCTTGTTTCTCCTTGCCCCTGTTATCTATTTTTGTTCAAAATTATCTATTTTAATGATGTTCTTGCTGAATAGATTATTCCTCTGAAAATCTTAAGTAGAATTTAATGGGAGCAGAAAAGAGTGGGGAAAAAACACATCACAAGTATAATGTATATGTGTGGATATATATGTGTATTCATGTATATATTTATATATGTGTGTAGTATATGTGTATGTACACATATAATGTGTGTTTATATAAATCACAGATGAAGAGAAAAAATGGAATTTAAAACAAATAATTGAAATTTTATGAATTCTAATTCTATTGTTTTAAGGCTTGTACCCTGCCCCACAACATGAATGATAGCATAGTATTAGTCAAAAGGGCATTGTATGAAAATCAAGAGACCTCTGTTCAAATCTCAAGTGATAAAAATCACTTCAAATATTTTTTTTAAAAAATGGTATATGAATGCCTATTATGTATAAAACAATGTGCCAAACTTCAGGTGATATACAAAGTTTAATTAAGACATAGGAGCTACTTTTGGGACTTGTTATCTAGATGTACATGATGGATATATGATATTTATATTAAAGAGCTGTAAAGAAGATAGTTTTGTGTGTAAATCTTCTGAGAGGATAAGGAAAAGATAGCACTTGAACTTTAAAAGTTAGACAGAGATTCAAGAAGAAGATGAGATAGGAGTATGATTTCTTCTCCAATTATCATCTAATAATAGGACATTTCTTATTTAGCTCATGTATACATTTGGAGTGTATTGTGCTATGTGTTGAAAGATATTGGTCTAAACCTAATTTCTGCGGAAGAATCAAACTTCCAAACCTCTTTTTAGAGAAAGCATAAAAAGACATGCATTCTGAGACATGGTCAATGGGTTGATGTCTTGTTTGACTACACACACACACACACACACACACACACACACACCACACACACACGTGTGTATATATATGTATGTATGCATGTACACACACAAATATGCATGTATGTGTATACACCACATACATATATACTATGTGCATACATGCATATGTGTATGCACATGTATGTATATGTATGTATATGGACTGCATTGTATTATGTGTACACATTTATATATATATATACATATATGTACAAACCAAAAGTATATGCAATTTATTTATATATACTACATATGTATAAATACATATGTGTATATGTATATAATATGTGTGTGCATATATGTATATGCATATTTATATACTCTATGTGTATGTATATGTATGTGTGTATGTGTGTGTTACCAGGAAGAGCTACTATTTGGAAGAATGGATAGTGATATAGTGGATAGTGGATAGTGATAGAAATGCAAAGAGCAAACATCAATAAAACACTTTCAAATTCAAAAAATGAGCAAAGTGCCACAGAACAATATCATTACTGTGTTGCTATATACATATACGTATAATTATTGTATATACACATATAAAATAATCTCCCTACACTAATGAGATCCAGTAAGAAATTATACAGTCATATGCACATTATTTTTAAAATGCATATTAATAATTATATTATTAATATGAGTTTTAAAATGTATTAAGATCCTTGAGATGCTCATGTTTATATGTATATATGTATTTATGTATGTATGTATGTATGCATGCATAGGTGTCTCAAAAATCTTGCTTGTGTTTGCTCATGATAGTTAAATTTACAATAAAAAAGAAGAAAATGAGAAAATGATAGAAGGAGGAGAGTTACAAGATCATATAGAATGAGTTGTAAAAGACTTTCAAGGTCATTTAGTCTAGTTGCCTCAGGACTAGAAGAGGACCAGAGAGCTGAAGTATCTTGCCCCAGGTAACAAAGGTAGTATGTGATAGAGGTGGGGTTTGAACACAGGTGCTGTTACTTCCAATTTAGCACTCTTTATAATGTTTGAATAGACACAGGCAGACAGAGAAATGCCTGTTTGACAGTTGATGACTTTTTTTTCTTTAATAGGGGAGTGACATAACTATATGTATTTATAAAGGAAGATCATTTGGAGCAGTACCATGAAGACAATTTGAAAGGCAAAATTATTGCAAGACTCCAGGTAGGTCATTACACTAGATTTCACTAATATAATGACACTGTTAATAATGAGGAAGCAATGATTGTCAGAGATAATTTGGGTAGAATTGATAGGATTTGGTAAATAATTAAGTAGGAGTGATGAGGGATAGAGAAGAATTAGATGTATCTTGATGAATGAAGTTTTGAACCACAGGTGATTCAAAATGAAAAAGGTAAATTCTGTCTCCACAATACCTCATTCATTTACGCCATTCTTTCATTTGTAGGGCCACCATCCTAATTAAGGACCTCTTTGTTTTTCATCTAGTTGGTTGCAATAGTCCCCAAAGGATCTCCTTGCTTCAAATTTCTCATCTTTCACTGTAATCAATGCAATGACTAATGGAAATGCCCATTTAAGTTCAGAACAAAAATAAATTTTAAAAAATTTAATTTCTTTCCAATCCATTCTCCACAAAACTGTTGAAGTCCTATTCCTCATTTCAAGCATGGCTACATAACTGCTATGCTAAATAAACTCCAGTAACTCCCTGCTGTCTCTAGTTTCAAATACAAAATTATCCATTTTGACTTGGAAGCCCATCAGATATGTATTCCAACATAGCTTTCTATGTGTATTATGGATTATTCCCCTTCACATACTCTTCAGTTCAGTATAATCTCTTTCTAGTCCTCATGTGCAATGTGTCATATCTTTTTTTTCTTTTTGAAAGTTGTATTTTTTAATTTATTTTTAACGTTCTTTTAAAAATATTTTGTTCCAAATTCTTTTCCTCCCTCCTTCCAACACTCTCTCTACTCACTGGGAAGGCAAGCAAAATTATGTCAATTATGTATGTGAAATCATGCACAACATATTTCCATATTATTCGTATTACAAAAAGCAAGAAAAGTTAAGAAAGTCAGGAAATCATACTTCAATTTGCACGTATAGGTTCGTGGATTGCATTCTTCTTTTTATCATGAGTCCTTTGAATTGTCTTGGATTACTGTATTGAACAGAGAAGCCAAGTCTGTCATAGTTGATCATAACAACATTGCTGTAACTGTTACACAATGATATCCTGGGTCTTCTTACTTTATTTTCCATCAGTTCATATGAATGTTGTCCTGTTTTGTTTTGTTTTGTTCCTGAAAATATTCCCCTCATCGTTTCTTAAAGCACAATGGTATTCCATCACAATCATATGCCCCAACTTGTTTAGACATTTCAAAGTTGATGAGCCTCAATATCCAATTCTTTGACAGCACAAAAAGATTTGCTATAAATATTTTTGTGCATATAGGTCCTTCTTTTTTTTCTTTGAACCGTTTGGGTATAGGCCTTGTAGTGGTATTGCTGTATGAAAGGGGATACACATTTTTTAGCTCTTTGGGCATAGTTCCAATTTGTTGCACAGAATAATACCAGTTCACAATTCCATCAACAGTTTACTAGTCTATGTTCCCTCACTCCCTCAAACAGTTGTAATTTCTGATAGCCCAATACATCAGGAAAGATCTGTCTCATTGGGGAAGGTGTGGAGCCTGGAGCACAGTGCAGCCCAGGTCATGTCCTAGAAACCCAGCAGTAGTCTTTGGAGGCACCTGCATCAATGGCAACAATAGTTGCAGGAGTTCTCAATCCACAGCCAATAAAGGGGTTGGACAACTGGTCAAAAGGAGATTACAAGGGACACTTTGCTGATACAGGGTGCAGGACCCTATTGCACTGCCCATGTAGAGTTCTCGGTTGCAATACAGGAGTAAACATGAGAATTAGCACAATGGCACATGTAACTGAAGATAAGCAGGAGCCCTACTCACAATTCTAAGTCAGAGTAAAGTGCTTATGGTCAGTCATAGACCAAAGAACAGGCTGGAAGAGCAGTAACCACATCTCTCCTAAGAAGATCCAAAATGGGCTTTCATTGTATTCTTCTGCCATGGTGTACCGTTGCCAGGCCAGAAGGTACAGATGGTGGTGGTGCAGCCCATCACCCTCATCTTCAGGTATCTCCAAAATCGGCTGCAAATTCTATTGTGGCTATATGAGCAAGTAAATACGCAAATAGAGGGCTGCATAATTGGTTTCAATGAGTATATAAATCTTGTATTGGATGATGCAGAAGAGATTCACTCTAAAACAAGCTCAAGGAAACAACTTGTTCAGATCATGCTAAAAGGAGACAACATTTCTACAAAGTGTCTCTAACTAGAAGTATATGGTCAGTGAAGTTAGAAGACACTCAGAAAGCAATACTTTTTTTTTCTTGGTTACATTCTCTGGGCATCAAAAGCCAGCTATACATTTTTTCCATATTATTTTAATCTTTCTTTTTATTATATTTCTATTTTATTATATTATTATTATAACAATACATGGGTTGCTCTGGGGTTTGTTTCTATTTTTTAAAAAAGATCTAAAATGTTATAGACCTTCTGAACTAAATCTGAAAACAGCATCATGAAAAACCTGAAACTTGGAACAGTGATTCCTCCACCCTGGGAGATAAAGTTAACAGTCAGAAAATGGCCTAGAAAAATAAGCAATCAACAAAAATAACAAAAAGGTTCTGACAACTAAAAATTACTAAGGCAATAGGGAAGAAAGAGGCAAAAACTCAGGAGACAATTGAATCAAAATAGCTATATGCAAAACCTGAAAGAAAAATATAAATTGGAATGAGCCCAAAAATGATTCCTGGGCAAGCTCAAAAATGATTTTAAAAATTAAATGAGAGAGGTAGAGGAAAATTGGGAAAATATATGAAAGTAATACAAGAAATTTATTAAAACAAAGTCAACAACTTTATAAAAAAAAGGAATAAAAATATTTAAGAAAATAACACTTTAAAAATCAAAATTGGACCAATGGTAAAAAATGAACAAAAATTCACTGAAGAGAAAAATTATTTAAAAACTAAAAGTGGCTAAATAGGAAAAGGTGCAAAAGCACACTGAAGAAAATATTTTCTTAAAAATTAGAATTGGTCAAGTGCAAGCTAATGACTCCATGAAACATCAAGAACCAACAAAATGAAATCAAAAGAATGAAAAAAAAATAGAATAGAATGTGAAATGTCTCATTAGATAAACAATTGATCTGGAAAATAGATCCAAGAGAGATAGCTTAAAATTATTGGATGAGCTGAAAGCCAGGACCAAAAAGAAAAAAGAGTATAGGCATCACCTTTCAAGAAATTATCATACAAAACTGCACTGATAACCTAGAACTAGAGGGCAAAACAGAAATTAAAAGAATCTAAACTAAACTAAGAATCTGAACTAAAAGAATCACCTCTTGAAAATATTCCAAAATGAAAACTCCCAGGAATATCACAGCCAAATTTCAGGGCTCCCAGGTTGATGAGAAAATATTGCAAGTACCCAGAAAGAAACAATTTAAATATTATGGAGCCAGTCAGGATAATCTATGATTTAGAAGCCTCTACATTAAAGAAGCAGAGTGCTTGGAATATGATATTACAGAAGCCAAAGGAACTAGGATTAAAACCAAAAATAACCTACTCAGCAAAATTGAGTTTAATCATTTGGGGGAGGAAATGGATATTTAATGAAATAAGGGATGTTCAAGCATTCCTGATTTTTAAGAAATCAGAGGCAAATAAGAAGTATTACTTTCAAATTCAAGAGTCAAAAAAAATCTTTAAAAGGTAATCATTAAAAATAAATCATAAGGGATTCAATAAGGTCAAACTATTCACTTTCCTATAAGGGAAGATGATATTTTCAATTTCTAAGAATTAGAGCAGTTAGAAAGATTATACATAGACAGGCTATGGGTGTTGTGAGAAAGAAAGATGTATTTGGAGAAGGGGGGAGGAAGAGGTAGAGTAGGGAAATTATCTCACATAAAAGAGACATAAAAGAAAGAGATTTTACACTGGATTGGAAGATGGGGTTTGAAAGTGAATGCTTGAACCTTACTCTCATTGGAATTAGCTCAAAGAGGGAATACCATACACACTGAGTTGCATATAGAAACTTATTTTACTCTACAGGGAAGTAAGATAAAAGAAGGGGCAGGAGCTGACAGAAGGGAGGGTGAATTAAGAAAGGCAATGGTCAGAAGCAAAACAGGCCTTTATTTAAAAATCAAGAGGAAAAGAATAAATGGGGGGGTAGTAGGATGGATGGAAACATACAATTAACATCATAACTGTAAATGTGAATAATATGAACTCACCTGCAGAACAGAAGTGGATAGCACATGGATTGAAAACCAGAATTCAATGATATCTCATTTACAAACACACACACACACACACACACACACACACACACACACAAACCCACCTTGAAACAGAGAGACACCTACAGAGTTAAAACAAGGGACTGTACTAGAATCCATTAGGTTTCACTTGAATTAAAGAAAAAAAAAAGGAGCAAGAGTGGCAATGATGATCTCAGACAAAACAAAAGCAAAAAAAAATCTGATTAAAAGAGATAAGCAGAGCAACTGCATTATAGCAAAAGGTATCATCGACAATGAAGTAATATCAGTACTAAAGATCTACACACCAAATGATGATGTAATAACCAAATTCTGGAAAACTAAACAAATTACGGGAGAAATAGACAGTAAAACTATACTAGTAAAGGAACTCACCTTTCCCCTTTCAGAACTAGATAAATCTACAAAAAAATAAAAATAAACAAGAAAAAAGTTAAGGAGAAGAATATAATTTTAGAAAAGTTAGGCATGATAGACTTTTGGAGAAAATTAAATGGGAATAGTAAGGAGAGGAGTATATTTCCTATTTTTCTGCTGTACATGACATCTTTATAAAAATTGTTTATATATTAGGCATATAAGCATCACAACCAAAAGAGCCACAATGTGAAAAATTATTGGTGTGCCTATATAAACTGTTTTCTAGAATCTACTCATGTCATTTATCATTAGTTTATATAAGTCTACATGAATTGGCTGAAAATATCCCTTTTGTCATTTTTTACAGTGCAAGAGGAGCAAATTTTTTAAAAATATTGTTCAGTATATTTAATATAGCTTCAGTTATCTTTCTGTGCTATTTTCATTTGTATTATTGTATTAGTTGGATATACTATTCTGCTTATGTTTTCTTTACTTGATGTCAATTCACATCATTTTCCCTGAATATCTTCTATTTTTATTTTCTACAATTGTTTAAGACTATATCATCATTCATTCCTCAATTGATGAACATTTACTTTGTTTTCAGGGTTTTTTCCCCTACAAAAGATTGAAAAACTGATCTGAATATTTTGGCATATATGAGAGGTTTTTTTGGGGGAAGGTAAGGTTCTCGGACTTCCTTGAGATACATGCCCAGTAGTGGGATTACTAATACAAAGTGTACAAACAGCTTAATAATTTGTTTTTTGCTGAATTACAAATTTAGAGTAGTTGGACCAATTCACCTTTACATAAACATTGTTAGTGTTTCTGACTTCCCACCAGCTCTTAAACATTGACTATATCCCATCAGAGTTGTAATTTGATCTTAGATACTTGTATGTCTGAGCCAGTGCTATTTTCATTACACTAATAAATTTTAACACTATGATTCTTTGACGACATATTACCAGATAATAAAGCACAGTGAAAAGACTGAGAGGCTTAGCTCTTCTTAACAGATGTGTCACCTTGAGCAAGTGACATAACTTTTTTGAAATCCTGAGCCTAGAACTTCCTTTCACTTTCTCCTTTCTTGGTATCTCATTGTTTGATGGCAGAGACTTAAAAAGTTTAGCAAAGATTAAGCATTGAACTTTTACTTAAATTAAACACCCCTTGTGAAATAAGTAGTGTTATTTGAAAGTCTATCATTGCAATATATTCTCTTACTAGTGACTTAGAACAGTTTTTTTAAGCAAAATGTATAATGAAATATAATGTCTCAAGAATTTAAGAAAGCTTTCTCCAGTTGATAAGTGGTCAAAGGATATGAACAGGCAGGTGTCAGATGAAGAAATTAAAGCCATCTATAGTCATATGAAAAAATGCTCCAAATTACTATCGATTAGAGAAATGCAAATCAAAACAACTCTGAGGTACCATATCACACCTATAAGATTGGCCAACATGACAAAACAGGAAAATGATAAATGTTGGAGAAGATGTGGGAAAATTGGAACAATAATGCATTGTTGGTGGAGTTGTGAAATAATTCAACCACTTTGAAGAACAATTTGGTACTGTGCCCAGATAGCTATACAAATGTGCATGCCCTTTGACCCAGCAATAGCACTTCTAGGACTATATCCCAGAGAGATCATACAAATGGAAAAGGACCCACATGTACAAAAATATTTATAGCATCTCTTTTTTTTGTGGTGGCAAAGAATTGGAAATTGAGAGGATGCCTAGTTAGGGAATGACTGAACAAGTTGTGGTATGTGAATATAATGGAATACTATTGTGCTACAAGAAATGATGAACAAGCTGACTTCAGAAAAACCTGGAAAGACTTATATGGTCTGATGCTGAGTGAAGTGAGCAGAACCAGGAGAACACTGTACACAATAACAGCCACGTTGTGTGATGACTAATATTGATAGACTTAACCCTTCTCAGCAATATAAGGATCTAAGATATCTCCAAAGGCCTCATGATGGAAAAAGCTATCCACAAAGAAGAAAGAACTGTGGAGTTTGAATGCAGATCAAAGCATACTATTTGCTATTTTTTTTCTTCTGTTGTGTTTTGTTTCCTCTTTCTGGTGGTTCCTCCTATCGGTTCTAATTCTTACTTACAACATCACTAATGTTAAAATATGTTTAATAGGAATGTATATGTATAGCCTGTATTAGATTGCATGCCATCTAGGAGAGGAAGATGGGGAAGGAGGGGGAGAAAAATTTAAAACTCAAAAGCTTATGGAAGTGATTGTTGATAATTCAATATAATAAAAACAAACAAACAAACAAAAAAGAATTAAGAAAGCTGTCTACACTAATGGAAGTTTTATCCATTCAATGACCACAGAATCCAATCAAGATTTGTAGAAATACATAAAAAAGGTTATAGAAAATCATGTGGATCATAGTAGGAAGTATATTTGAAGATTCTTAGGTAAAATAAAAGTTCAGGTTACAGGAAAAGAGGAAACAACCTTACAGAAAGTTTTAAATTTTAGCGATTCAAATTTTAGTAATTAAGTTAATTAAATAGATCTTTTCTCACTTTCCTTCTTTAAAATGTTTTCT